CATTCCTGTAATTATAAAGAAAAAGAATCTTATTAAATAAGTGATGTTTAAATGTAGAACAATTTCTGGAATGAAATGTTTCCTAATCCTCCTTGGACACTGGATCATTGCTGGAGTCATCATCATCACATAAACGACACGATGAACAGGAAACTAGATTACTAGGTATGAACAAAATACAAATTACAAAGCTGCAGTTGATCAGATGTCAGCTACCTTTACGCTGAACAAGTTATCAAGTCCTTTCCTTGTTTTGTTTTAAATCTGAGTTTCCTGAGGACACACAACTTTTGTAATCGTTCAATAATCTCCAGTAACTTTTAACCCCTGTCCAATTTAAGGCAAATCTAAAAAAAGGGCAGAGGCCTCAAAGACATTATGATTCTGTAAGACTCTTAACAACTACTGGGTGAACAGAGGAGACAGACCTGATAAAAGAAAATCAGAGAAAAGTGTGCTTTACTCATCTCATTTGGCAGCAGCCGAGTGGTCAATCAGCAGGCAGATGGCTCTGGACTAGTCACCACAGGAGGACGGGACAGTGCTACAGTGCATGGCAGTGGGGAGTAAGAGGATGCCGATGGTTACGTATGGGGATCATAGGAACTGGATGTACTATGTGGTACTGTGGATATGGAAAGGATATTGGAGTATAAATTCTAAAAGAAAATGAACAGCAAATACCTTTGCATTTGATTAGCCAATGAGTTGTATTGACAAGGCTGGCTAGTAGACACCCTACTAGCACAGAAGGGAGTTAATGTTTACTTCTGGGATGTGAGCTTACTCTTTCAGAAGTAACTGGAGTATCTTCATACAACATTCTTATTTAAAAATGGCTGTGTACTTTTCATACAATGACATTGTAAAAAGCGAGGCCGAACTAATTATGCACATATGAAATTTCACATCTATATACTGACATTAAACAACTAAGTCTCAGGAATCAAGCTTTATAAAAATGTTTTAAGCCATGACTTGTATTTAAATTCTGCTTTATCCTGAAGAACTGAGCTAGATGTTCACAAAACAAAATCTACAAATGGGTTATCAGGGAAATCTTTTTCTTGTAAAATTAGACTCTAAACACAATAACTAAAGATCTCCTACACACTGTCCAGAGTGCAATCGTTCGCACTTCATGTACAAAACATCTCAGTGGAAGCATCTGCCTAGTATGATGATCTTCATGCAATCAGAATCTATTCATCCTAAACAAATCAAAACATGCAGAATCTATTCATCCTAAACAAGACCATAGAGAATTAATGAAAGAAAAGTATAGGCAAAATTCTGTTGTAACTCAAGGCTTCTGACAGTCTCATCAGTAGATGGAAAATTTTCTAACAGATTACTGAAATAAATTTATGACTATGAAATTAGGGCCCTCAGCCATCAACCGAGTGGATCCATCAGTGGTAAAACTAACAAGAACTGTGACATGCTGATTATTGAAAAGCAAAAACCTTTCCATGCAGAGCACTGTCTGTCAGCTTGTATTAAATAGATAGTTCATTTACAACTGGACTTTTTAAAGAAAGGAAATCTGTGGTAATGAAGAAAAAGAAATCAGTATTGTACAAGATGCACTGAAGTAATTTATAAGCAAAATGTATTTGAGGTTTCAGGTTATTCTCCTGCTGAATTCACAACCTCATGCCTACTCCTGAGACATACTACTGTGTTTTGCAGGCCGAATTTTTCAGCTATGTTTTGTCTTCCAGATATTATTATTATTATCATGTATTTCAGAACTGCAACCATCGGACTGATAAAATTATGCAGTAATGTTTCAAATTCTTCCTCCTAGACTTTTTGGTATTTTGGAAAACTGTAGCTCTTCTGTTAGCAAGTTCTTTGAAAGAAAGTTAGCTATATGTAGAGTGAGTACAGAAAAGACCCACTGTAAATTCATTTAAGCAGATATACTTACAACCTTTGTTTCTAAGTTTTAAATAGATTTTTAAAGTGTTTCTTTAAGGGGGACAAATCCTGCATACCTTACTCCATAGGCATCTCTAATGAACACTGACCTACCAAGCCAGAAAGATATGATCTTTGAAATCCGTAAAGCGTATTTCTAAATAAAACAGATTATAAAAACATCAATCATGCTTCCCAGCATGTTTTCAAGTGAAGTACTCATACAGTTAAGAGTCAGATTCAAAACTCACAAGTACGGTAATGGAGAAAACGAAACTAACCAAAATAAAGTCTGCAGTTTAGTTGAGGCTCAGCCTGTCCCAAGGGTTATACACTTTGGTTTTGGTTAGCACTTTGCTTGAATTCAATTCTGAATGTGACAAGCCTTAGTAAGCCTCACTTGGCATTCTGTCTAATAAGGAAATCAAAATAACTGAAAATCATGGCATACAAAGACAGGAGAAGAAAAATAATGAAGTTATTTCTGTTAGTGTGATACTCGTGTATTATTGTAATAGTTCATGATGCTAAGATAGCCCAATTTTAGACTCTCTATACTTTTGTTCTGTATTACTAACATAAAGCTACTGTTCTTTTGCAAAGGGTTTGAATTATACTTATTGAAAAGGAGTAAAAAAGCAATGTTACAGTCATAACTGTGGTATAGGAATCCTGTGTAAAGAAAGATAAAGCAAATGTCTGTACTCTACAAGACTTGTTCTAGGATTAATATTTTCTGTTAAAAATTATAAATGTTAAAATACTTTTTTACCTTGCTTTGTTAAATAATGAGTTTTCATTAAATGTGAAATGATGTTTTGTAGTTTTCAATGTTATTTTTTGCAATTATTAGAATCCCTTAAAATGTATAGAATATAAACTGAACAATGGATATTTCTTCCATTTCTGAAAAAAATATTAATACAGATAAAGAAATGTATGTGCCAACGTGCAGTTCTGCCTGCCAGTCATTTTAATATCCAAAACCTTCCATTCACAATAAGAGAGGCCAGTTCTTGAAACCTGTTAGGTAGGTATCCATTTGTCTCTGAGTTTGCAGGAAACTTAGGACATTTTTTCTACTTTAACTATTTTAGATGGTACATTTGTTCAAAGATATGCCTTACCTTTTGCCTTTCCAATAGTTAGGAAGTGTTAAATAGAGTGATGGATGCAATGACATTCTGTGGAATATAAAACCAAATATACTTCATTTGAGGCTGTGTTTCAAAGGGTTTATGTTTTTATGTGTTTGTGAGGCACAGAAAAAATATTAATTTCTACAACACTTTTAATGAGCCTTCTTACTGCTTGACCAGATTTTACATAATGTGTACTGCCAGGGAGCTTTGTTTTTCCCCAGAGCATTGTGATCTCTATTATTGTTTATAAATCTTCTAATTCAAACAGCTTAACGCATTTCCCGGTGGATGTACCTATAGCTACTAGTCCATTATGTTCTACAAGGCCTTACGCAATGTCTGAGTCCAGATTACAATATTCTTATGGGCCTTGAGCCAATCTCTAAAGGAAAGCAGGTTTAGCCACGTAATTACATTCCAGAAGACTTTTAAATAAATTGTCAGCTGAATTCAGAATTCCTACAAGACTCTGGCTGCTGTGTCAGATCAATGTGCACAGAATGAATTGGATAGAAATGAACTTCCTAGTAGTGGTCATATTAAGATGTTCTACGAGTATTCTACTCTACACTTTTCATATACGCATGTGAGAACGTTCAGTTTGACATCAACATTGACAAATAATTTAACTAGGTTTAAGGCAGACTCCACCATAACTCAACAACAGTGAGAAACAGCTTCGGTTTTCACCATCTGTAATGTAAAAATTGGTCTTGAAAGTTCACATGGGTATAGAGAAAGAAACAGAAGAAAACAACTGATAGATGACTACTGAAGTAGCCAAAAGCATGCTGGATTCAATCTTTTAACGTGTTACCTTTTGTTGTTGTCTACCATGGGAACAACATGATTCACTTGTGGGATCAATTATCACACAGTTATTGAAATATAAATTCAAAAAGGACTGTAGAATAACCCACATATGACAAGAGTATTCCTTTGTCACTCATCTTACTCTTACTCAGTGTTTAATTGAAAGAAACATTCTCTGGTTTCAGTATTCTAGCTATGCCATCTCTGTGCTTCATCTGAAAACACTGGATAACTGAAAAATATTGGTGAATACAAACACCTCCCAAGCTGCCTTCCCCCCATGAATTTGAAAACTAATTGGATTACACTATTAGCTTCCTACTTCACTCAAAATCAACATGATTTTAAAATCAATTATATGCTGAAATTGTACATACTCTGAGGAAACCTGGGTGGATTGTCGTTGACATCAGTGAGTGTGATATTTACAGTTGTTGACCCTGACTCCCCCCCCCCCCCCCCCCCCCCAGCCATATCTTTGGCTTGAATAACAACGGAATAATGCTCTCTGGCTTCCCTGTCCATGTTATGCAAGGCAGTCCTGATGACTCCTGTGATGGAAAGAAAACAAACAAACAAAAGAAAGATCAGGATTAGCTTGTCCAAGCAAGATGAAAGGCTGGGCATAGCCTTTCTTTTCAGGAAAGGTGGGGCAAGGCAGATTTTCTGGAAATGCAAAGCTTTTCTACAATCAAAATAAGTTAGCTTTTGTTTTTTGTGGGTTTTTTTTACATATAGTTATATACATGCATATATATACATAAAACAATGCCAGATGCTGCTAGACAACCAACTTGCTTGAGGGTATGAAGAAATTAAAATCATATATATTACAACAATTATTATATTAATAAAAATAATCTAACTTATATAACATTCCTAGTTGAAAGGTACATTGCCAAAACTCCAGTGTTTTCTCATATATTATAACTGTTTAAACAGCTACTTGATAGAAATATTAAAGAATTGGAACTCTTACCTCACTGAAGAAGAAATAAATTCCTTTTTAAGAAGAGTTAATTTCTGAATTAAAATGACATACCTCTTAAAACTACCCAAAAGCTAAACTTTCTTATTTGACAAATCTCAAAAAATTATACTTTCTTATTTGATACCTGTCAATCATATACATTTATGTTCATAAGTGTGACTTACCTAATAAAAAAGTGAAAGATAAGCTCTTATTGGTTTTACTACAGTACAGAGAGAAAAGTAAAATTGAGTGATCCTAAAATTCTATTTCTTTTTTTCCATTACCATCAGAAATTTTTTTAACATTTAGTCAATTACACATGCAGAAGCAAAGACTCAGAACAAAGGAGGAACAGTCAACCCTGTGGGCTCAGTTTCAGTTATGGGACATTCTTCACTTATGATGATTTCTTTATATTAGGCGCTGCTAATTTCTTTGATCTGACAGTCTGATAGAAACATCATGGACTTCAATAACGGGAAATGTCAAGTCCTGTGCCAGGAACCAGTACATGCTGTGGACAGCCTAGCTGGGAAGCAGCTGTACAGCATGATTCTCAAGGGTTTTGATTCCCACACTATCAGATGACACAAAAGTGATTTCCAGAACACTAGTTTTCTTGTACTTTAAAATGACTTTATTTGCATTTCTTCAGTAAAACCATTTAGCCATTATGACATACAAAATGGAAATTTTCATGTAGCTTATACCATTGATTCCATTCTGTTCTGAAAACAAATCACACGTAAATAAGTGGAAAACCCACAAAGAATAATATTTTAAAGTATCCATGAAGATTCAGAATGATTTTAACACAGTTTTGCACTGTAAGTTCCTTTTCATCAGAAGCATAGATACTGGACAAGCTGGCTAAAAATAGTATACCAGTCTGTTTTAGTTCATCAGTGTTTTTTTCCTTTAAATTATATAGTTAGAAACAGATCTTTTTTCACAAATTTCATCATGATAAAATTAAATTAACCACAACTTATAATGTAACAGAAAGGCATGGAGACGTTCGGATAAAAGGAACTGATATAACTTAAATATGCAGTTTCATCAAAATCAATATGGCTCACAAAGTCTGGTACTAATATTCTGAAAATTTATTTTACTGACAAATACAAAGATAGAAAATTATTAAAATTAGAAAAGTCCTGCTTTGACATTTTTCAAACAAATTGCTTCAGTTTTTCACACTGAAACCAAGTTTATTGGAACATTTAATGTTTATGTATATGCATGGAGGGAGCATGTGATTTAAAAAAAAATAAATTCCATTTCAATTTGAAACAGACCAAGTTTTATGTAGCAGAACATCTGTTTCTGTAGAAACCTCGTAAATAGACTAGTCACGTTTTAAAACTAATTTAAACAAACAGAAATTTCTATGAATTTAATTACTTTCCTCTTCCTTTTTGCTTAAAGGGGTATGGTACTGAATCAATGCTTGTAGACAGTTAATAAGGATTTGTGGATGACTAATCATTTGATCTCTTCCACTTGCATCAAATTCCTTTCCTGAAAATTGAGTAAATGAACCATAGAATCATAGAATTACAGAATCATAGGATAGTTTGGGTTGGAAGGGACCTTTAAAGGTCATCCAGTCCAACCCCCCTGCAATGATCAGCGTCATCTGCAACTAGATGAGGTTGCTCAGAGCCTCATCCAACCCGACCTTGAATGTTCCCAGGGATGGGGCATCTACCACCTCTCTGGGCAACTTGTGCCAGTGTTTCGCCACCCTCATTGGGAAAAATTTCTTCCTTCCATCCAGTCTAAATCTGCCCTCTTTTAGTTTAAAACCATTATCCCTTGTCCTGTCACTACAGGCCTTGCTAAAAAGTCTGTCCCTACCTCTCTTATAAGCCCCCTTTTAAATACTGGAAGGCTGCAGTAAGGTCTCCCTGAGCTTTCTCTTCTCCAGGCTGAACAATCCCAAGTCTCTCAGCCTGTCCTCATGGGAGAGGTGTTCCATCCCTCTGATCATTTTTGTGGCCCTCCTCTGGACCCGCTCCACCAGATTGTCTTAGGGTGGTTTTGAGGATTCCCAAGAAGGATAGACATATATACACAGACTACAAGGAAAAAGCAGTAAGCGTTTATTACCTACAAGCATGCGTTACACTAAGGGTACCTTGCAAAGCAATTGTCTTACCGACCCGAGGACTGTGAGGAAGATGGCCCATCCATACATTCTTGTGTCATCCTGCACTGCGCGCTCAGCCCAGCAGTCGGGAGGTACCAGCTTTATGTGGGTGTCCCCACGGAGGCAACGGTGGCCTTGCCATACACCGATACCCTGCTCTTCGGGAAATCCCGGTATTTATACATTTGCAGAGGAGCGGGTTTCGACACACGTGACCCGCGAGTGCCGACACACACCTCTGTTGCTGACTCTCAGCATAGGGAGCCTATGGCACATGCGCCCACTGGTCAGGCGCGCTGCACACACCATAGTCATTCCATCTATTGGTTCGTAGGCTTTGTACACATGGCATATTGTCAATCATGCTTAAGTCAACAGCAAGATGTTGCAAGGATTCTTACCTCCACGTCATCCTCTAGTATTGTTCAACTTCCTACCCTCTGGTTTCTCTAACCCAGCCTGTTATCTACTTCTCACCCAGCTATCTGTTTTTCTCACTGTGCTAATTGCAGTGTTCTCACGGGCCGAAAGTCCATCTTTTAACCCCTTTGCTGCAGTTTTCTCACTGTCTACTTTTTACTCAGTGTCCAACTACAGACCAAAATTCCATCTTTTAACCCCCCCATATAGATGCCACCACGTGGTCCGTGGTTGGAACACAATGATATTTTACTATCCTTCTCTCAGGCCAGAAGTCCACCTTCTTAACCCCTCTGCTGTGGTCTTCTCGGCTATCTACTTCTTACCCAGGGTCCAACTACGGACCAAAACCCCATGTTTCAACCTCTCCGTACACACAGGTCCATGTCTTCCCTGTGCTGAGGGCTCCAGAGCTGGACACGGAGCTTCAGGTGGGGTCTCAGCAGAGTGGAGTAGAGGGGCAGAATCGCCTCCCTCAACCTGCTGGCCACACTGCTTTTGATGCAGTCCAGGATACTGTTGGCCTTCTGGGCTGCGAGCACACATTACTGGCTCATGTCCAGCTTTTCATCCACCACTACCCCCAAGTCCTTGCAGACTTGGTGAGGAGACAGGGCTGCTCTCAATCCCTTC